CAGTCACAAGAACGTCGAATCTGAATCACTTGAAAAAAACACGGGGGTGCTTAACTTTTTTCCAGGTGTATATATACACAAAGCAATAAGGTGACAAAGAGTGCAGTGAATTGATATTTTAGCAATTTCCACTACTGGTTAATAAAACTATTGCTATTGATATTATTGAAAAATTAAATTCAAAATAACTATTTTAAATAACTAATATTTACTGTTCTAATTCTGAAATAATTCTATAATATAATAACATATATATAATATAATAACATAAATCAGTGTATGCATAATTTCTCTAATAATCCTCGTGTTCTGTGAACTGTAATTTGGTATTAAATTGACTTCAGAGTATGAAATTGTACTTTTCTAATTACAGATTTAGAATTTTGAATAAAGTTAGAATGTTTTGTGATATTTATGATTGATTATCAAGATACTCTTTGTTATCTTACCATAATTTACACAATATTTTTCTGACTGTCTTGTATATTGTTAAAAAAGATAATTTTCTCAGTATTTTATCCTCAAAAGTTAATTTTAAAAGTTCCCAGTGCAGTTGCAGTCTTGGTTTCAAATTGCCATGTTTTTGGACTTAACCCTTCCATTCATAGGATGGGGTTAGTTTTCTAATTCATACAAGTTTTATGTAAAGTTCAAGATAAAGTTCAAATATGGTAATGAAACATATGAAATATTTGTTTAATATAAATTAAAATCCCACAGTAGTATATCACATATTTTCAGGGAAAAAGGCAAAAAAAACAAAAAAAAACAAGATTTTATTATATTTTGCTAAGGTTAAACACAAAAGTTAAGTTTGGTGGGTACATCAGTGATCAAAAGTCAGAACTGAAATTAACGTAATGGGCTAATCTAATGTTACTTAAAACTCAAAGAAGTCCTGAAATAATGATCACAAACCATCTGGTTTTGTTTATATCTTTTTTTTTCCAATATCAAATAACAAACAAAATGTCTGAAAAAGTTCAAATTGCTGTGACCTTCTTGAATTAAGATAGCTATTAATCTACTGTACCCCAGTTCCTTTAAAGTTTTACATGTGTTTTTCAGCTCCTTTAAACCTAATTTTATGTATATGACACAAACTGTGTTGTGTGTATTTGATCATAAAATCAGGCCTTAGAAATTAATATTGTCATTCAAAATATTCTATATTATAAGATATTCTTTTTATAATCAGTATTCTTCAATTAAATGTGTTTTTCCTGAGATTTTTCTAAACTCTAACTGGAAAGCTTGTTTGTTGGATACCTTCTGTGTTTTATCTAATATTCTTGTTCAAAATTAACTTTTCCAATTTCTTTCCTTTCCTAGTCTCTTCTTACTGTTGCAAAGAACCTATTTACTCATTTGGGTGAGTATGGATTTCTTTTTTTTTTCTACCTGACTATGTTTTCAATTCTGTAAATATGAATTCTTTGTTTATGGTTATTCATATTTGTCTCTTATTTATCGTAGTTAGGAAAAAATTATTTTTATAGCATATTTTATCACATCATTTTTTATTTAACCAACATATTTGTGTCACATTCTGTATCACTAGTGCTGTCATCTCTCTTAATCAGAAACTTGCTGTGATTGTCCTTCCTTTATTTTATTTAATAAATATGAATAATCTCTTTTTAAACATTTGCAATGGAATTTTCCTGAAATTTAGTAGGCATGTTGCTTTGTTTATGGACTTGTGTATTTAATGTAGTTACTACCTGTGTTTCTGTGTTAAAATGTTTGTAACAAAGTTTATTTTCTCTTCAAGAAAACAATATTGGCTTCATTTTTCAATGAAACAGTAGTGACATATTCTGGGTTTTGGAAGTTTACGACTCTACTTAATGTAACACTGACTTTTGCATATAATAAAATTTTATATTTTTAAATGTAGTTCTCCAAATTTGAAAGACTAGTTTGTATGTTTATTAGCATTACTTCAAGATATCTGCCCATTTTGTCAGAATAAATCTTCCTTTGAATTAAACTCTTAGCATAGTGTACCTTATTTTATAAAATTTTTATTTTCATTTATTTTAGATGATGTTAAATTACTACTCAAAGAGATAATGACAGAAGCCAGAAACCTCACGAGTGCTGAAAGGTAAAAACTTCTTGTTTAAAAGAATGCGAAAAACAATGACACTAGGGGTTGTGTGACATAGAGCACCAAAATATTTTGATCTCTCACTTGGGATAATTAAGAGTTTTATTTTGGTCTCATATGATAATTTTGTCTTGTATTATCTTTTAAGTAAAATCTTTACTTTATTTACGTTTTTTTAAACCTTAGTGACAATGTAAAGCCAAAACTTACAGTGGCATTTATTTAACTTTTAGCATCATTGCTGTATTATAATGTTGTGTTTTTTTTATTCTTTAATAATGCCATTTGCTAGTATTTTTGGGAGGCAACATTGCTGATAATATTGAAAACTGAATTTGTGTTGGATGTTAGTGTTAATGTGCTATCAAACCCATTAAGAAACCTAATAATAAATAGCTTCATCCTCTTTTTTTTTTCTGCTGACCCTTAAGTGAAAAAAAAAAGGGTAATGTGTACATGTTTAAAAAAAGGTAAAAAAAGGGATGTTCTTTTGTAGTACATACTTCTACTGTTAATAAACGTGCAGGGCATAATTTCACAGAAAAGATATTTACTTGTTTCATGGCTTCAGTATCTTAATATCTGAAAAGTTGAATTATTTTCCCAAAAACTACTGAGTTGTTCATTGGAGTTTTAGTGCTTCATAAGCAGGAAATTGGCCTCCTCAACGTGCTTTCTAATATCAGATAATCACCAGGACCTGGCTGCCAAGTCTCAGAATCAGTCACATTAACATTACCAGTACAGTTGTTGGTTTATCTAGTATGAAATCAGTATTTTCAACTTTCAGGGATTTGGCCACTGAGAACTGTTTCATTATAAAAAGTGCCAAATGTAAAAACAGTGTTAATGTAAAGGTTACTCTTAATCTACTTTAGTAAAAGTCTAATAATAATAATAAAATAAGATAATAGTTGTAAAAAGTATCGAACTGAATATCTATAATTCTCTTGAAATAACATTTAATAGAAACAGAATTACATAAATTTATAGGGAACTAGTTTCTTATTGATTAAAAAAAAAGGTTTTATTCAGAATATTTAATTTCTTAGTTCACAAGTTCTTTTGATTTGTGACATGAACCTTTGAAGCAATTTCATGTGGAAGCTATTGATTAATCGTAAATCTGGGCATAAATTTTATTCCAAGTGGTAGTAATCTGTACTCTAATATTAATGATTTTTTTATTTGTTTTAGATAAGTTATTTTTGAAATTAACTGTTTATTTTTCATTCAGGTGTTCTCTTTTTCTACTGGACAAAGAACAAAACGAGCTCATTGCCAAAGTATTTGATGGAAATTTGGCTGATGATGGATCAGAGGTATAGTCTTTTGAACTTGTAACAAGGCTGTCAATTTTAACATACATATACACTGAGTGGTCACAAGTAAATAGACACCTAATTTTTCGTTATTTAACTGATTTATGCTAAC